TTATTTCACCGGAATTTTCATTATTAGTGCCGAAAACTCCCTGAAATTTTGTGTGACTTTGACTAACCCTCAAAACTTTCTTTTCAAAGTTCAAAGAAAAACTCGGTCATATCGAAAAAAATCAAATATTGACCAATATGATTCTTCTTTAGGCCTTCAGAAGCTAGCTTTACGTTTTCTTTTCAAATAACTTTTTCGAAAGCCTGCAATTCTAAATTGCGTAAAATTGCATTATGCATCCACTTCTGCGAATTCCTTGTATTATATGTCAAAACTTTCAAAAGTGGTTTATCATTGAACCATGGCTTTGCAAAACAATGAAGCATACCGTTTTAAAATCTCATGATTTATGATTTTTAGACCAACTATACATAACGATACAATTTGAATGGTGCTTCGTTCGAAACCTTGCTAGTATTCAACCATTTATATGAAGATTTCATCAATTACTCTTGAAAGAGGAAAAACGCGTCGGTTAACATTTAGAGCACTTGTTTATCAATATCTATCTAAGCTTAGCTTACGTCCAAACAGAGATGTAAAGTTCTCATTACATTTGACTCATCCTAGTACTTATGCTATCCTTCGGTAGCAGTAAAAACGTAAAAGTCGGCTCACTTATTTCTCAATGCCTGATGTTTGGCGCAATACTGCATTTCTCTCAGTACCTCTCAGTACCTTAACGATGAAAGGCATTCTAAGAGCTTCTGGATGCAACTCCCGTTACGTCGGCTTCCTTCGTTGAATTCATAAACAGCCATAATTCCACGACTTACAACGGGTATCGCACTTGAATCCGTACGGACCCTATGCACGAGGGTGGAGGGGTACACAGATGCCTACCGGTAATTCAGCGCCTCCAGCCATGGATGATACCGATCGCAGCACCGGGTAGGTTGCATAGAGTGTCGAATCTTCCTCACTAGTAGCCAGCGCAAAGAACAAATTAATTTGTCTTTCTCCTCAGCACTCACTACTAAGATTTTAGATCGTAAAAACAATCACATGCATAGCTTAGATGTTCCCAAAAACTCAGAGTATATTCTGTTGCTTCTATATGCTTCTATCAAAGCAGGTAACGCTTAAACAGCGTAATAAGCTGCTGCGTTGTAGACTAACCTGCCTACTTCAGTCTGTGATTGATTCGAAAAACAACATTGGTTACTGCAAAAACGGCTTCATTCAAGGTCAAAAGCGGCACACATAGTTTTGAACCTGAAAAAGAGCGCTTTCAACTCCCGAAGCTTTTGTGTTCGTGTGTTAAAATGAAAATCGCAAAATGTATAATGGAGGAGATCAGAGTAAACCACTTCAACTCCAAACGGCAGACGTTGGCATTTTTTCGTACGCGCTCATTTTTTCGACTGAGTATTGTGAGCTGTGTACTTCAATTTTGGATGGAATTTGTTCCAATTTTGCGGCGCCTACGTACTACGTGTCAAGAAAAATCAACACGCTATCAATTTTTAATCTGTTTTGTATTCAATTCCGGTGAGTTTACAGCAGTTAATCATGATTTCTTGGACTGCGCTTGAGAAAAGGAATCCGCACAAGATTTTTAAGGACAGCTTTGTCACCATCAATAATGTCACGAAAACACATTTCTTGTCCAGCTGCAGTTGATTCTCAGCACAAATGATAGAAAAAACTGCTTGTGACGTGTTTTGCCAAACTGCACATCCTAAATATATTCATATCTGTCCATAAGCGTCTATTTCAACGTGTCTTTATCGAATAAAAGTGACCAGTAACACTTCATTCTGAAAAACAATGTTTTGAGGTGATGCTAAAAAAGAGAGCTTTACACCAGTGGCGGTCCCAGATTTTCGTCCGGGGAGGGGGGTGGCGGCAAAAAAAATTTTAAATGAAGGTGCGTGACGTTAGCCACGCACTCCGAAAAAATTTTGGGGTGCTTCTGAAAATTTTTGCTGGTCCCCACCCCCTAAAATCTGGGAAAAGGGGCGTGGCGTCAGCTACACCCCTGAAAAAAAATTTTTTCAAGGCTAATTTGAATTTTTGAAAATTTTTGAAAATTATTTTAATTGTTCACAAAAGTAAACAAGTCACTTACGCATTTTCAATGGGTCCGGATAACGGAATAGTGGGATTCGAATAGAAGACCATTTGCGATACTTTGAGTATGGCCGGCTTTCTTGGAGTGAGAAACAAAAAGCCTTGCGTTCCTCGCTCAATCGCTTGTTTTTGTAAAATTAGCGAGCGAATCCGAGAAGGGCCAGCTATTTTTCGTACTAGTCCGCGCGCGTTTGTATCGTATCGTATAGCTTGTGTGCTAGTCAATTCTCAAGCGAACTACCAACACGAAAGCGCGTAACTTCGCTTTGACGGACAAAGCCCTGGCTACTGGTGGAGGAAGCAGTTAACATAGTCGACGGAGCATCATCATCAAGGTGTTCAGAGTTGCTGTCGTCTCCCATTCATCCAAGAAAGATCTCGAGTGGAGATCAGCTGTTCGAAGAACGCCCTCCGCGACCGGGAGAAATGATAAAGGAGGCGGTTCAAATGGCCGTATGGCCGGCGTTACCTAGGTATTGCTTGGAAGAAGCTATTTTTATAATACAGAACAGGGCTTCTTGCCATCGTTTTTATGCATGAACATCCTTCTGTAAGACTTGTTGCAACTCATGGCTATTGGTAGTTAAGGACAATGTCCATCACCCATCAGTCACTTGCATTACGTCAAATTATCCAATTGAATGATTGCTTCTGGCATCGTCTTGGATTTGCTCCGATATTCCATCGGACTTCTACTTGGCCAGAAGGCTCCTCTTCTTTTCAAATCTCGCACAGCTATGGTATCCGATGCTATGCGGGCATACCGCCCACCGAATGCTTTGAAACTGATATATTATAGCTACAGCTGGAAAAGACGAGACAGGTTGGTGTCACGGTGTTTGCCGACTGCCTTTTTGAGGTTTGTGTTGCGACGACCAAAGTTAGTAGATATATTCCCACCACAGTGTTGCTCTCTCGGGAATTTCATCCTGAGAGAGAGAGTTAGTTCACTCTGTTCCACTTGATAGAAGCGCCTGAGTGCAATTTACTTTTCGAAGCAATGTGAAATATTGGAAAAATGTCCATGTCAGTCGACATAGTTTGATATTCATCTCTTGTTTCGTCAAAAGGGAGTGCAGTCTCGGCTAAAAACGCACTTGCCTCCATCAAATTCCATTGTTCATATCTTGAACACTCTCTAGTTTCGTAACGAAGTATATGCCAGATATTCTAAGAAATCCTCCAGTTATGGGTGCCTAATCTCGCGGCAATTATCCTTTCAAATGAAAGCAATGTTATAGTGTACTGTTGTTGCTAGTATTTGATGACGGGGATGCATCATCGCTAATATGCACCTCCATTTTTCTTGTTTAAGAATCTCAATTTTCGGTAAGCATCACACTTCCACTTTCTCGACTCATGGTAGGACCTTATATGGGACAAATCGTCAACGTTGAAAGGCTTGACCTTGCTTTGCAAAAGAAAACCAGTAGAACTCTTTTTTTAATCAAACAACTCAATCGCTACAACTAGGTTAATCTTTTCTGTTACAGTGAAGTCTGATTTACTTCAGTTGTTGATCGTTCCATGGTGATATGAAACAAGTTTGTGTATACGATACTTTACTTGACAAAGTGTAGTAGACGATATCTCCTAAGCAGACAGCTCAATGCTGCCCTTCTAATCCTCCTATTCTTGGGGAATACCACAAAATATTGGACAAATGCTTTCTATTGTCGCAACTTTAAGGTGTTTTAGCGTATAATAATAATAACAAGCTAGCTTTGAAATTCTCGTAATCTCTCGACACTTCTTTTGCAACACTACGTTGATGCTTCATTCTTGGGCCACGCATTAAGTCATCTGAACTAGTTCTTAATCCATATAACACAAAATCGGTCAAATTTCAACGGTTTCTCTATTCCGAAATCGCACCCTTTATTAAATGTCTGCTATAGATCTCATGTACGATGTATCTTGACTATATTAGCAAAGATACAATTGCTACATGATCACAAACTCTCGGCAACGAGGAAAGCTTATAAATATATCGTCTCTGAAAACTTGGCGTCACATATCCAAATGTGCCGATTCTGCCGAGGAACAAGGCTCGCTGCTTTTTTGGCACTGTTGCTGCCGGACTGCCAGAAAGAGAGCGGCTGCCCTTTGTAACAGATTGCTGATTGCGTCCGATACTTTGGCAAACATGACATGCCGGAGCCATGAGAAGGCCTTTTCTTTCCACTGGCTGCGGCCTTGTCTGATTGCACTCACTCTCAATTTCTGCTTTCCAGAAACTCGCATAAAATCTTGCATAGTTCAGTAGTGTAGTTGACTCTGCTACCACAAAACCACCTTGACGGAAATGGAAGGCAAGCGTTGTTTATACTTTTTCTGCTTCTGTATGCGCGTGTCGACGGAGCAAACTGTTCCAGTGCCGTGCGTTTGCTACAGTACACTGTACGCGCGAAGCACAGTTGCCGCGCATCGCGCGTACAGTACGCCGGTAGCGAGTGCACGACAGTCGTTGGCGTGAGAAAGCGGGTGAGCGACAGCTGCTAAGCACGGAATGAGCGTGAAAGATGCTACGTAGCCACTTCCCTCGCTACTCCTGGGCGTGCATGTATATCCATTTCCATTTCTGGGCCTGGGCGCGTTGGCCGCGCTGCCTCTATCGATCGGTGTCCTCAGCATAGAAGTACTCCTAGCCACACGCGCGGATCCGCCAACTTTTCTTTCGATCCACATGGACCATCAACGCACGGCACTCGATCCGTAGGTGATCGATCCAAGTCCAGAAAAATGTTAGGCATCGACCAGATTGCCAGGTCTCGTTCTATTATTATACCTACCGTCCATTTAACGTCTTTCTGTGCTAGAAAAAAGTGTGTACTCATGTTTTGAAAAGATCTAGAATAGGCCAGAGTACACAATTCAGTGAACCAGAGAAGTTTGTCGTTAAGCATGTAATGATCGATCCTTTTTAGATTGGCAGCGGAGGAGGCTCGACGGGAGCAGAAAACAGATTCCGGACCATTTGCCGTCCGTAAATCCACGCTTGCCTCAAATGCACCGGTCAAAGAGAAGGTTGGCAATGTTATTTCTCTATAGTCTGATCTTAAGTTGTTCACTCTGAGTCGCTGTAACATTCCGAAGGAAAAACTTTTCTCACATTTCATTCATACTTGAAACCACCAACATCTGGCGCTGCATTTGAATATCAAGTAATAGATTTTTGTCCTCCAAAAAAGTATGCTTGCTTGCTTACTCTAAACTTCTTTTCTTTGAAACATCTCTTCATAATACTCTTCGTTAGCGTTCGTCTAACCTCAAAGTCTCGTTCTCCAACATGCTTTTTTCATAACATACATTACGTCTCAACTTGTGCAAGTTAACCAATTGCTCATTGCCGTACCCGTCACATCTCCAAAAATGAATTCTCATTTAGTCAGATTGTCACTTAAAGCTAGACATGCCAGTATGCCTGATTTTTTTTATCCTGATTCGATTGGTAACTCATCCTCGCTCCTTGACTGCGCCTTAAGTCGTTTTAGCTACGAGCCATCAGCACCTCTCAACGTTTCGATTCGTTAACGACTTTGAGTTTCTCGTCCTCAAAGCGAATTTGAGGACGACAGACCTATGCGCAGCACCTTGACGACGTAATGTCTCCTAAGCGATCCAGTTCAAAATTCACACGCACTGAAAGCTGAAGTCCCAGCTGTAGCGAAATTTGAAGTAGCTTGGATGACATAGCAAGTTTGTGAGAGTCAGCGAGGGTTACAAAAATCCGTGTTTACAGGGTCCATCGTCGTTGTTCATATTTTCTGAGGACAACTTTATACGAAGGAACGCGAAAGCGATCATAGAATGGGGTCCATTCGAGTACTTCATCCTACTCACCATCATTGGTACGCTCAAGTAACTTGAACAGTTCTGTGTAGCTAACCGCAGTCAAACCGCAGCGGCCTTAGTTGTGAATGCATTTGCTTCTGAATATCTGACGAGTCATTGCAGGAAACTGTGTCGTCCTGGCAATGGAACAGCACCTGCCAAAAAACGACAAAAAACCGCTTTCGGAAAAGCTGGTGAGCCGAGTTGTCTTCCAACTTTTATTTTTCCCATAAAACTACGCGCTGGATGAAATTGGATCTCATTGCATATGTGAAAAGTACATAGAAAAGCAAGAAACTTGAGAATCACATTGCTATGGAGAGTATTGTTTTTCGAGACGAGAGTCTCTCGTCAAAGCACGAGCACTTGAGTGGAACTGATGTAATTGATTTTTTCTATAACTGGACGTTTCTTTATTTAGGAATACACCGAGCCATACTTCATGGGTATTTTCTGCCTAGAATGTGTGCTGAAAATTATTGCTTTTGGTTTTATTGCTCACAAAGGATCGTATCTTCGATCTGGATGGAACATCATGGATTTCATTGTAGTAGTATCCGGGTGAGAGATTATTACTCAAGCGCGCTTCGGATAGGCAGACAGAGCGATAAGGGGCTGCAGATGGTTTAGTGTAGGGTGCGTATTGAAGTGACACAGAAAACATGATGGATCTGAGCAAGAATAGATCTGTTACGACTTCCAGAGTTTGCTGATTTTTGCTGTGTACTTTGTGTACTTTCTCATCAGAGGTTTTGAGGAGTAGAATTCCTTAAGTAGTGACATTAGTGATGTTGTGAAAGCGGCACATGTTTTTCTATCAGTAATCATATGCTTAGTCTATGCCACAGAGCAACGAATTACCGACCCTTGTAGATACCTTAGCGAATAATTTTATCAGTTTCTCCACAAGTTCTGCAAATTTAAATATGGATGACACATAGGTTGTTTTTTCTCCGAAGATGAAGGAAGGCATTGGCAGATCGAAGAAAAGAGTATAAAAATGTGCAACTAACTTGTTTATATCCGTAAATGATTGAAATTATATCTCAAATTCTTTGAAAGTCTGTTTAGCTCTACGAGAAAATTTTTTTTGGGGGCGTGGCCTCCGCCACGCTTCCTTTTTTCAAAAATCTTAGGGCCACGCAGAAATTCTGAGGGGCGTCTTAGAAAATTCTTCGGAGTGCTTCATTCAGTAAGAAAAAATTTTGTCGCGACGGAATTCCTGGAGACTGCCACTAAGGAAGGTTCTTATTTACAACAGAATCTATTTTTGAAGTAAATATATAGGAGAATGTTTGAATCTAATCATCATAGGAGCGCGTTGAAGCTTATTTTTTCGTCAGTGCACTTATATAAACTTGTCTTCAGAGTAGTGACTATGTTTCCTGTGTCGCCAGCCGGAGCAGGTGGTGGTCCAGAAAAGGTGGAAACGGTCGACTTGAGGACTTTGCGAGCTGTGAGGGTGCTACGACCGCTGAAATTAGTAAGCGGCATTCCCAGTGAGTTAAACATTTTGAAAGAGTTGATTAAGTGTACACGGCAGGGGGGGGGGGAGAAGGAGGCGGATGCTGCTTGCTTCTTGTGATTCCTCGTATCTGACTCTAAGATGACAATTTGAAACAGCCGCGTACGCCTAACGCCAGTCTAGTCGAACAGTCTAATGAGATGCGATTCTAGTTCGTTATGCCTGGACCTATATCAGCGAGTCGCTCTGATTGCTACTTTTGCAAATGTCTTTGCAGTATTCTGCCGCCAGAAGCGGTGAGCTCGGTGCAGATAAAAATCACGTAAATCTGGAGCCTGCTGCATAAGAAGAGCTGGTTGTTGCCTAAAGCTGAAGCAGGAACTCTCAAAAACTGCTACTCACTCGTGAAAGGATCGACCTGTCAACGTTAAGTCAAAAGCTGGTGTCAGCAGAAAAATCAAGATGATGCACTGTTTTAGCAAATTGGTCTCTTCTAAAGCGGATTTTGTAGAGAATTCGATATAAGCTAATTTCTCTACCTCTGTCTATCCCTTCTCCAGCTACTGAGAAAATGCCGGCGATTTTTGGGAACATTAGAAATTTTTTTTTTCATGACACGACACTTTAGGATGAATAATCGCAGGTTAAATTGTGATATTCTTCCTGTGATCTGCTATACGTCCTGAACCACATACAGTTAACAGAACGACTTAAAACTGAACTCGTTAAAAATTGTGATTGGCAGTTTGTGATTGTGTAGTAGAAAATATAAGAGTTTTCTGACATTTGTGTGCGCGAGTCAAATGTTGGGCAGTCTAGAACATAATTTTATCAATTCGTGTTCACGTAAATGGTTGGAAATATCAAAGTCGTTTGTGTGTTCAATGTCATATCTACATTTTGCACCCAAAATCTGTTTGCTTTTAAAGGAAAGTTTTTTTTTTTCGAAAACTCAATGCATGAAACAGTTTATCGCACATGACTACGCTTTTTTGTGGTCAAAAATAATTTCTAAACGAACAATATTTGCTGTATGATTCTCCTTGAGTTGTTCTCTCCGGTGATAGCGTACACTATTGAGAACCTCCGAAACTTCGCACAAAACGACAAATGGCCAAAATTAATTTATGCCCACTAATACATTCTTTTGATGTAGAGATAAAGAGAGAATAATTTTGTATGCTTTGGTGATATCAGGAAAAGCGAGGAGTCACTAAACGTTTGCGCACAATCTTGCGGTGGCAAGAGTGTTTAGACAGTAGAAAGCTCAAGATCAAATCACATAACAGGCTGACCTGACACTTTTAGGCTTGCAAGTCGTACTCAAATCGATTTTGTGTGCAATGGCACCACTTCTGCAAATCGGCTTGCTTGTGCTGTTCGCTATTGTTATCTTCGCCATCATCGGGCTTGAATTCTACTCAGGAGCCTTTCACTCAGCCTGTTATACTGAGCGGGGTGAGATTGAGAACGTCAGTGACAGGCCCTCACCTTGGTAGGTCGCATGCGTTGAAAGGCAATGCTCTCAGTGCTTTTCTAGCTGCACCTCTTTCAGCACAAATAAGACCAAAACTATGGGCGTTTATAATTGCGACGTACCTGGAACTACCTGTTTGAACCAGTGGATAGGGCCGAATTATGGTGAGTTTTCAGATTTTTGCCATCCATGGTTACTATTCTCCACATCTTTATCAATCTCTTTAGGCATTACTTCATTCGACAACATCGCATTCGCTATGATTACCGTATTTCAATGCATTACCATGGAAGGATGGACCACAGTAATGTATTATGTAAGATGAATTCCAAGCTTGATGGTTTTTGTTGGGCTTCTCGTAACCTATGTAGCTCTAAACTGCGCTTGTGCTTGCGCCATATCTATAAAGTTTGGGCTGTTAAGAATGACAAAAATAGTGGACCATTGGCAGTAGGTAGTGTTTCAGACCAACGACTCGTTGGGGAGCACCTACAACTGGGCGTATTTTATTCCTCTTATCGTGCTCGGATCGTTTTTCATGCTGAATCTTGTACTCGGAGTTTTGTCGGGGTAAGTATAACCCATCAGCGGTCGATGCCTTGTACAATCAGGCTTCGCGGACTTCGCAAGTCGTTTCAATAGTAAAAATCATTCACAAGAGTCTGAGTTTACAGAGAATTTGCAAAGGAAAGAGAAAGAGTGGAAAATCGCCGCGAGTTTCTGAAACTTCGACGACAGCAACAAATTGAGCGCGAACTCAACGGTTATCTCGAATGGATCATGGCTGCCGAAGAAGTAATACTCAAAGAGGATAGAACCACAGAAGAAGAGAAACAAGCAATTCTCGACGGTAATATTTTTGTCCATGCTTGTTCGCCATCGATATAGTGCTCTGGCAAGAACAGATAGGAGGCCACGGGTTGAGCTCCAATCTGTTATGATGCACAAAGTTTTGTGCGCTAAAAATCTTGCGTCTGTCTGTTAGGTGGTATAGAGAATAAGGATTAGCGATGCTATTGGTGCTGGAACGAAAAATGATCTGGGAATTTGAGTAAATTTTGTTCCGAAAGGATATAATTACGAGCGACAGTGCCTGCTCTTTCACGACGTGCACAGAAAAATGGTAAAATTTTGATCTTATAATCCGTTTATCTGAGCACAAATGTGTAGGAGGCTTCTCTTTGCAGCAGATGGGTCAATGAAGAGGCATGGCTTTGTTTGATTATTCCTTATAGTAGTGATTTTGAACAGAACGAGCACGGTAGTGGCCACACCCACCTGAAAACATTTTTTTTCGAAAGCTTATTCATTCTCCGTAAAATTTATTATTTATTCAGGTTACTAGTGAAGAATCGGTTCTGTTAGATAATCTCAAGATGTGTACAAATTTAGAATTTTCGCGAACCGTTCTCGCCTCCCTATGTGTCTGCTGTCAATATACAAGGTGTCCCAAAAATAAGTACACACTTTGCAATTGTTAATAACTCTCTTCTCCAAGGTCTTTTGCTTACCTTTAAGTAGCATTAAGTAGAGCGTCAGCTTAAATTTACGGTATGAAGCGAATCACCCGTCACTCTTAGTTACTGTAGAATTACGGTAAAAACTTCCAGCTTGCAGCGTCATTGAATAGGTTCATACTCATAGCACAGCGCCATAGCCGCGTTTCAAAAAAAAAATCCAATAATCTGAAAAATTGTGTACCAAGGTTTCACGTGGGCTGATTACATTACTTAACTTTTCACGAGTTTGTAGAGCTTTCTTGAAGGTGTAATCACAATTTTAAGGAACATTGCAAATGCAGTTACTGCTGTTTACTTGGCTTAACTTGAGAAAGAAGGATTGCGGTAGAGTACAAAGCCCATAATTAGTGTTATCGGCTACGAATAGCCCAATGTAGAAATTTTCAGGGTGTTTAGTCTGCTTTTTGAGGTGAGCTGGGGCCCTCAATGGCTCAAAACGTTTTCTGATTTCGTACCGTTATCCTACAGTGATGAAGAGCGATGGATAAGTTGAAGCCTGCTCTACTGAACGGTACTTAAACCTTAGCAAAAGCCTTTTCGGGAAGACAGTTATCAACGAATAGAAAGTGTGTATTTACTCTTGAAACACCCACTATAGTGTCGCAGGTATGTGTTCATTGTTTGATCGTTGAAGGCAGTAACTCCGGGAAAATTCTATTTGCGAGCTTTCCAGCTCTGCTTGGCCTTATGAATGCGTTTAGACCAGAGCTGTGCTTGAAAAGTCAAAAAAGTGCTTTTTATGGCGTTTTCCGGACTTGGAGATTACTGACGAGGCTGGAGCGAAGATTCGCGCAGCAGAGTCGCGATTGGCTGCCCGGGCCAATCAGCCAGTTGCCGCCAAAATGAGTGGTGTTACAGTGTCTTGTAGACAGTCACTGTTTTGGCGATAATCGCTCGCCCAGCCCCCTCTCTCCCAGGCCGGAAAAGGCCAAAAAAACACACTTTTTTGACTTTTAAAGCATAGCTCCATACTCTAACGATAAGGCACCTCATTACATACATGAATGTTATACTGCATACAGTGCTGCACACAATGTTCACTTAGCTTCTATGCTGAAGTAGACTTGTGCAAACTTCTCTGATGTTTAGGCCGTCGTCGGGCAGAAACGAAGAAGAAGATGAAAGACGCGTCAAAACAGCAGTCAACGGAGACGGAGGAGGACCTCGAGGAGGAGGAAGAGGAAGTTGACGAGGAGTACGACGACGAGGGAGGCGAGCCAGGAGAAGATTACGGTAGATGCGCGAAAGCTGTGCATGACGTCGTTATGCACTCGCACGCTCTCACGATCGGGTGACGCATGCTTAGCGTTCGAACACAGTATCCGAGCCTTTAGATCAATCAATGTATCGATTTTCGCACGTGTGTCGCATCAATGTTGCATTTCGCTGCTAGCCCTTCAGTTAGGTCAAGTCCGTCGGGCAAGTCCGCTTGTCACACGTATTTGTGCATGGAATGGCATGGTTTGCTGTCGAGTGCACTGACTGAGGCGATTTTCATGCAAGCAATAGCGCTTCTGCTGCACTTCAGTGTTTTCTCCAGCTACTTCCGTTGGACTGATCTCCTCTATTTAGAGAAACGTCGTCGCGGCTGTTACTACTGCATCTGTAAAAGAATTCGTAAGGCCAGGTCAGCCGATCTTGTCGTGCTGGCTCACACTATAATGAAGAAATTCAGAATTCAAATACGGGTAATAGTGAAGACGCAAGTATTCTATTGGTCTGTAATCACATTGGTCTTTCTCAACACGGCTTGCGTCGCATCCGAGCATTACGGGCAGCCACCATGGCTCACAAAGTTTTTACGTGAGTATTGGTTGTTTTTGCTCTTACTGATCATTGGAAAAGAGAACACTATTACTACTCTAAAGTTCCATGTGAGACTTTTTTCATTGCCGCCATCAGTTTTCTATGTGTCGCAAAGTGTTGTTACCGGAAAGAAAAGTTTAAGTTAGAATGGAAGCCATAGTGTGCTGCTGATAGACCCTACACCCTGAGTATCTTAGATTGTAGATTCTTAGATTATTGCATATCTGTTGCCTTACTGCGAATTACCTTTAGCATAAATAATCTCGAGAAAATCTTTGGCACTGAGAGGCCTATAAGTCGTATCGAATGAAGTCGCTGAGTTGGGCAGGAGAGAGCAAATAGGGCTCTATACGGTCGGTTCATGTAAAACTTGTTTGCGATGCGCCGTAAGTCCACACTGAGCTTAGTATAAGCAAAACAAACGTTCATCACATTTGCATCAATTTAATAGAACATGAGTGTGCTCAGGGCGTAACGCGTTGAGATCTTGGACCGCCCTTCTTTTCCGCAATATGTTAGAGAAATTTATAGAGTTGACGCAAAAAGCTTGCTGGTTTCTTCTTCGGAGGGATTCACGATTCCTAGTCTCTCTTCAAATGGATAATCGTCGTTCAATCAGCTTTCATGAAAAATTTTTTTTTCAGAGTATGCCGAGTACGTATTCTTAGGGATTTTCATAATGGAAGTATTGCTCAAATTGTTTGCCATGGGTACTCGAACTTATTTTGCATCCAAGGTAAAATTCATACGTACAGAAAAGCATCTTGTAACGGACCTGATTTCAGTTCAATCGTTTTGATTGCATAGTCATTGTCGGTTCTGCATTCGAAGTCATTTGGGCTGAGGTGAAAGGAGGCTCATTCGGTATATCCGTTCTACGTGCGCTACGTTTGCTCAGAATTTTCAAATTGACTTCGTAAGTTACATCGCATATGCCTAGACCTTTTTTCTAATCAAGTCATTAGATACTGGGTGTCGCTTCGTAATCTGGTTCGATCCTTGATGAATTCAATGCGGAGCATCATCTCTTTATTGTTTCTCCTCTTCCTTTTCATTCTGATCTTCGCCCTGCTTGGAATGCAGCTTTTTGGAGGAAAGTGAGCTTTTAGACTCAATAATCATACATGTGCGTTTTCTATTGCCTAATTTAGATTCAACTTCCCTTCGATGCATCCCTACACCCATTTTGACACATTTCCTGTTGCTTTGATCACCGTATTTCAGGTATGCGCTGACTTGAGTATGAGAACCGAATAGAGTGTTTGGCGTTCTCACAAACATTGCTTACTTCTTTACAGATACTGACCGGTGAAGACTGGAACGAGGTTATGTACTTGGCTATAGAAGCTCAGGGTGGCATTTATGGCGGTGGGATGGTCTACTGCATCTACTTCATCGTACTTGTGCTATTCGGAAATTGTACGTTCTCCTTGATGTCAGTACCTTAGAAAATTTTATTTTTCAGATACGTTACTGAACGTGTTCTTGGCTATCGCTGTCGATAACTTGGCGAATGCGCAGGAACTCACAGCAGCAGAGGAAGCGGATGAGAAGGCGAACGAGATGGACGACAGTGAGGAGGAGGAGCCGGTAACGGAGTTTCTTGAGATTTTGCGACATTCTATGTTTGCCCTGCGTTCAACTTCAAAATGGCGCCGGTTGTGAAAATCTTGCAAAACTAACTTGATATGTCCGATACTGACTTCCTAGAACCACTGACATTTAACTTCAGGATGGAGATCACTGCACCATTGATATGGATGGTAATGACGGTGATGACGGTTGGTTTTTTTTGGATCTTAGGAAAGCTCTGAAAGTTTATATCTCCAGATGAGGAATGCGAAGAAGAAGAATCACCATTCGGAGGCCCACGACCTATGGTCCCATACACGTCCATGTTCTTTTTGTCTCCATCAAATCCGTGCGTGCATCTGCAATGCCTTCGCAACATGACTGCATATCGTTTGTGTTCCAGACTTAGAGTGCTGGTACACAACATAGTGTGTACAAAGTACTTCGAAATGATGGTCATGGGAGTCATTTGTCTATCGTCCATATCGTTGGCAGCCGAAGATCCAGTCGATGAGGATAATGCGAGGAACAAGGTTCTTCAATACATGGATTATTGTTTCACAGGAGTGTTTGCCTGTGAGATGCTGCTGAAGGTCCGCTGCATTTTCACCAATAGTATTCCGTATGACACAACCAAGGATGTTCTAGTTAATCGACCAAGGCATCATTCTCCACCCAGGATCTTACTGTCGTGACTTCTGGAACATACTTGATGGCGTAGTGGTAACTTGTGCACTGGTTGCCTTTGGATTTGCGTAAGTTACACCTATAGCTAAACTGTTCCACATGAAACGAGACGACCCTAAAATTATTAAGATTTATGAGTTTCGTTAACGTAAATGATCAAACTGTTCAATATGAATTTATGCATTGCTTAGTACATGTCTTATTGCATAAGTTCGTGACTGTCCTTCCGCGCTTGAATACGCTGGTGTGGTCCTACTGTTTTGATGCTTTTAATGTTCCCAGCAGAGCTTTTAATAAGAGTTAACTTTTCAGGAATCCAATGGACAAGTACGTATTTCATAAGGTTTTCCCACATTAAATACTCACAAAACTCCAGCATTCACGTTGTGTGACATCTCTCATAAAAACAAATTTCATTTGCTAAGTAAATGGAAAATGAGAGGCTTCTTTTGCACTTGCTGTTTAATCCAGACACGCACCTCCAAATAGCACTTTTACTTTCCTTTTACCGAAATAACACACTTTCGGAAGCACCAGCAAACATTCTAGACTAAACATTTTTATTCAGTCATTAACAATAAAGTCACTGCTCCTCATCCTCACATGAAGTACTGTATTGAGCACAGTACCTGGCAGTGGTTCAATCTGAAAACCTAAGTTATGTTGACAAATGAATGTTTTCAGAGGCACAGAGGGATCTGCAGGAAAGAACCTGAACACGATCAAATCGCTAAGAGTTCTACGAGTGCTGAGACCTTTGAAGACCATCAAGCGAATCCCGAAATTAAAGGTAATACTAGGCAATGGACACCTGTGCTTTTGATATCTCCATGAATTTGCTAGGCTGTATTTGACTGCGTCGTCAACTCTCTGAAGAATGTCTTCAACATCCTCATTGTGTACTTCTTATTCCAATTCATCTTTGGAGTCATTGCAGTGCAGGTATAGTTGATGGTTACAGTTGCAGAAACGCCTTATCTTTGAGAATTTATTTATTTCTCCATGTGTAATACATTGTTCTATGCCTCGACCATTTGGCTGCGCTCTATTTCATCGCAGTCTGACAGCATGCGAAATCTGTCTTATGAAAAGCTTGCAACTTTTGAACTTAACTTTAGCATAATCGAGACAATTTTGGTCATAACCTGTTGCTTAGCGCTGGTAATAGATGAGGTAAGAATTAACGAGTAGCGTGGAGATAGATTGTTGACAAAGTTCAATGTAAACATCTGTACTTGCGACCTGCAAATTAGTGCAATAATCATGATGCGGGCTGGACTGTTTGTAATACTTGAAATCCCTTCTTTCAGATTTCTTTTGACGTTTTTTCTCAATTTAGTCGCAGGCTCTACAAGATGACCTTCGAAAAATCGCAATAGGTTTGATACATGTAAAGTTTGAGGCCGAAATTCAAAAATTCTAAAATGCCCGAAAAATCCGATCTCAGCCCAGAGAAATTCTACAGACCTCTAACTTGCTCAGGTTTATATTCCGCGCGTCAAACGTTTATGTTTACATTTGCTGAATTTTTCCATGGCTAGAAATCGAAAACAAAAATGTCTCAAAATCGCCAGAAAACCAGAAATTGTCGCTTTTTTCTGCGTTTTTATGCTAAATTGTTATTTCTCGAACGTAAAGCAGTAGAAGGCTGAAAATTTGTAGTGGTACTCACAAAGATTTATAGTATACAGGGTGTCCAAAAAAGTGTGCCTACTGTTCAGTTGTTGAAAACTATCTTGTAATGAAGTATTTCGAGCACCGATCGCTCTTCAATACTGTAGGATTACGGTAGAAAGTTCAAGCATATGGTGTCACTGCGAAACCGTACTTTTTAGGAACATTGAAAAAACGCCGCTGCTGCTTACCACGCATAACTTTTTAGTGAAACGTTATGATAAGTTGTGAACTTCTCATTAGAACTCAGCAACTCTTATTAGCCCAGTGTGGATTCGGGTTGTTTTGTTTTCTTTCTGAGGCAGAATATGGTCTTTCATGGCTTAAAACCCTCTTCAAGGTTCCTACCGTAATCATACAGTGATGGAGAGTGATAGGTAATTCCTATGCTGTAAATCTAAGTTGAAGTCAGCTCCACCAAACAGCATCAAAAGCTTTCGAAAGACTTCTTACAAGAGGATTATTGACAATCAGACAATAGACACACCTTTTTGGGACACCCTGTAGATCTGTCTATGTAGGAACAGCCCAGCATGGCTTTTACGAAAACATGCAAATTTTTATTTTCTCAGTTCCTAGCAATGGAAAAATACAGCAATTGCATGTATGAATGTCTGGTTTGGAAATCAAATGCCAGAATGAGTTGGAAGCTCCTAGGAATTTTTAGGATGAAGATGAGTTTTTTTGGGCATTTGGATCTCTTTAGATTTCGTATTCAAACTTTGTGTGGATCACACTTTATATGAATGTATGAAGTGTATCTGTTTGCTTTGCTCTGTCGAAAGGTCTTTTAATTACCATGAGAAATCCACGAAGAAATGGCTCATGGCAGTATAGAATCAAATATGAAAAGAATTATGGGACAACTTAACATCCTTGAGTAGTAATTCCGCCTCAGTCAGCATGCAAATTTTCTTGTTCAACATAGTGGTTACATTTTTTGCTAGATTTTGATGTGCAACTACGTACTCGAGAAAAGTATGCATCAAACTATTGTTTGGAATACTACTGTATGTGATTGCGTAGAAATGTAAAAGCCAGTTAGCGAGGTAGTTCAAAGTATCTTCGGAAGACAAAACAGACAAATCCAGTTAGATCATCGCATTGCTTATGAGGGCTCCTAGAAACAGCATGCTTGGTTCTCGTCAAGCCCGTCTTTTACTCATTTAAAACTCAAGTATGTGCGCGCCGGTTGTTAGCGCACCGCGCATAGAAATTATGCATAATTCACTTCTTGCGGAAAAAAAAGAAGATGAGGAAATATTTATGTGCCGCTGAATCGTGTTTTGTTAACTTGCTTCTGTCAGCTGCAAATTCGGCATGATTTTTCATAAAGTATCTCGCTTTGACCCCCTTCTTATATTGCTGCTCCTGCTCAAATGACGTGTTCAGCTCTTCAACGGAAAGTTTTTCTACTGTACCGACAAAACGAAGCGCTTTGCCTATCAGTGTCACGGACAGTTCTTTGTCTTCGACAATCAGGTAGACTGATGGCTTAAGCAACCAAAACTTATTAAAGGCGAATTATTCTGTTTTTCTAGAATGAACCCCCTCGTGTCGAGCAGCGGGAGTGGCGACTAAGACCGTTCAATTACGATAATACCATCAACGCCATGCTCACATTGTTCGTGGTGACAACGGGAGAAGGGTGGCCGGGTATCCGCCAAAATTCCATGGATACGACCTTTGAGGACCAAGGTCCCAGTCCATTCTTTCGTGTCGAGGTCGCCTTATTCTATGTGATGTTCTTCATTGTGTTCCCGTTCTTCTTCGTGAATATCTTCGTGGCTTTGATTATCATCACATTCCAAGAGCAGGTATGTAACGCAAAGCTTTATAAACGCATCAAACTACGAATTTCATGCGTACCATGCCGTTTTTAGGGTGAAGCTGAGCTGTCAGAAGGGGACCTAGACAAAAATCAGGTGAAGCCTGTTTGTAAGGTCATTTTGACAAATATTAAAATGAATATCTTAGAAACAATGCATCGATTTCGCATTAAATGCCCGACCACGCTCTCTGTTTATGCCCGAAGACAAGAACTCCATAAAATATCGCATTTGGCGACTGGTTACGTCGGCTCCTTTCGAATATTTTATCATGGCGATGATTTGCTGCAACACTATCATTCTTATGATGAAGTTCCACGGAAATTCCGAATTTTATGAGAAAGTTCTCAGGTACGTAATGTTTTCCCAAATCAACTGCTTTCATTTTGTGAGTCTCTTTATTTATTCGCTGCTTCAAGTTGTTAAATCACCAATTCTTGTTAACAAAGGTCAAAATCAATTCCTGTCAGCTTCAATCGAGGCATATACATACGTTGTTGGGTTAAATGCTAGTGTTTTTGTATATTCACTTCTATTCAATTTAGGCTGTTCAATACTGCGCTCACAGCTGTTTTCACAGTTGAAAGTATTTTGAAAATCTTGGCATTTGGTGTTAGAGTAAGTTGCTTTAATCTCTAATTAGTCTGAATGCACACAAGATTATTCGATTTTAGAATTACTTCCGTGATGGTTGGAACAGATTTGACTTTGTTACAGTTGTTGGTTCCATAACTGATGCTTTGGTTACTGAATTTGGGGGTAAGATCATGTTGTTTCATTCACTTCCGTTCTCACAGAGCAGCTAATCGTCCTTCCTCTCAATCAGCACATTTCTGCAGGGCACTTCGTCTCGCTGGGATTCCTCCGTCTGTTCCGCGCTGCCAGACTCATCAGACTGCTGCAGCAAGGCTACACGATCCGCATACTGCTGTGGACGTTCGTGCAGAGTTTCAAGGTAAGCGATCGCAGTCATGTCGGCGTTGTGCGCTGCTCAAGCACTGCATGTTTAGGCCCTTCCCTACGTCTGCCTCCTGATCGGCATGCTGTTCTTCATCTATGCGATTGTAGGAATGCAGGTCTGCATTTCTTCGCCGAGGCGCTTGCGCATTATGGCATATCGATTCCAGGTGTTCGGTAATATCTGGTTGAATGCAGCTACTGAAATCAACCGTCATAACAACTTTCAATCATTCTTCAACTCGGTGATCCTCCTTTTCCGGTGAGTTGTTTACGTTGTTGCTACCGCAGACCTCCATAACCTTTGCTAATTAGTTGCGCTACTGGAGAAGGCTGGCAGGACATCATGATGGCGTGTGGCGCACAGAAGGACTGTGCTAAACCCGGTACTCACAAGATCAACACCGAGAAGGTCTGCACTGTACCTCTGTGCCTGCTTACAGCAGCTAAGCTCTTCATCACCAAATTCATTCAGGGTCAAACCTGTGGCAGCAATGTCAGTTACGCGTACTTCACATCCTTTGTCTTCCTCTCGTCATTTCTGATGCTGAATCTTTTCGTTGCCGTCATCATGGATAACTTTGATTACTTAACCAGAGATTCTTCGATCCTTGGTCCGCATCACTTGGACGAGTTCATTCGCGTCTGGGCAGACTACGATCCTGCGGCGACGTGAGTAGCCCTTTCTTCTAATAAAATCTCGATATCACCGTGATTGAGTGGTCGGATTCATTACACGGACATGTACGACATGCTACGGAATATAACCCCACCTGTTGGATTCGGCCGAAAATGCCCGTATCGGTTAGCTTACAAGCATTTGGTACGCATGAATATGCCGGTGGCGGAGGATGGAACGGTACACTTTACCACGACGCTCTTCGCCCTAATTCGTGAGAGCCTCAGCATCAAAATGAGGCCAGGTAAATTATTGATGACGTTTTTGTTTGAATAGAAAGCAGCAGTTATAGTCGAAGAAATGGACGAAGCTGACGAAGAGCTGAGACAGACTTTGAAGAAAATTTGGCCTCTGAAAGCGAAGAAAAACATGATCGATCTAGTTGTGCCACCTAATCATGGTAAATAATCAAACGTCACATCTCACAGCGATCACACCCAGAATTTTCCAGAACTTTGCTTCCAAAAGCTCACAGTGGGTAAAATCTATGCAGGACTCTTGATTCTCGAGAATTACAGAGCGAAGAAAAGTGGCACAGAGGTTTGTTTTTTTTCCTCTCTTTTCTCGTTATTCTGAGTTTTCAAGAACGCGCCAGTATCCTGTAAATAATCGCCATACGAGTTACAACTTAAGTTCGCTATGAGAATCACTGGATTGCGAAGTAGTCGTAAGAATGTCTTACGTGCTTAATCTTTGCTACTTTGAGGTTCCCTGTAGTTCCTTAAAGGCAGCGGCTCGGCAAAATGGCAACTTTCGCCTATTCATCGTTCTGGGTTCCCCTGGACGAGCTAAGTCCAAGACTGTGCTTTGCAGCTTCAAAACATCAATAACTCGCTTTTCCAGACCTGAAAGGTGCAATTTGGGCGGGCGTATGCCTGCCCTCTAGAGCGCAATTGGCTCGTGAGTGGAGAAACCGTACCCACCGTACCCACCGTACCCACGAGCCAATCGCGCTCTAGAAGGAAGGCATACTCCGTCCGCCCAAATAGCACTTTTCACGTCCGGAAAAGTGGATTATTGATACCTTTGAAGTTGTAAAGCACAGTCTTGGACTTAGCTCATCCAGTGGAACCGAGAACGATGAATATCACAAAGTTGTCATTCTGCCGAGCCGGTGCCTTCAAGACAGAGATTCGACTGCTCTTTCCAGGACCAATGCTTCAGAAGATTACACATATACGCACCTTTTCTCTGACTAGTCGGTCTGCGAGATTGCGCAGAAACCTTGATATTTATACTCATTCGTAATAATTTGCGTAGTAGAAGAGCTTGCTTGAAGGCAGTGGCTCGGCAGATTCGCTCTTTTAGGTTTTTGGTGTTTTTGGACCTTAGTCATGCTGATTTCAAACGCAGCTTTCGAGTATGTCAGAAACACGTTTTCGACTTTAACAGTTGTTAGAAAGGTGAAATCAGGGATTTACGCGCTTTGAAAGCGATTGGCTGCCGGAGTTTGAGGTTGTATAGGCACTCCACCCATCTTGGTGGCGATTGGCTGGCAGCGATAGCCAATCACTGCTTGGAAAGTGCCAATCTTTGATTTTTCCTTGTTTCTTGCAATCTGCATGACCGAGAATGCGACAAAAAACCAAATTTTCTTCATTTTTGGAAGGCTTCAGCAACGCTGGACCGGCACATCCAAAGTGCTTGAGTAAAACAAAATTGGAACTGCGACTCTTCCAGGCCACTGCCCGCCGCCATTTGAGTGTGCAAATTCGTGAATCTGCCCCAACGGCAGCTGATTTTGAGAGATTTACAGACTGCCATGTTATCATTTTTGGCAATCTTTGCTTCCTTTGAACGGCATGCTTGTTGGTATTGAGGGTGAATAGTTGCAAACAACCGAGGATGTGTGAGTGATGAGTGTAGCACGAAAGCAGTCCAGTGATTCACAGCAGACGCAAGTCGCTTTTCGCTTTCGTGGTTACAATCCACAATGTGAAAAACAAGTGAACTTTAGCTGGAATTGCGTAAGCGTGAGCGTACAGCTCTTTTACTACTACGACGCCGAAATGCCATGTTCAAGTGGGCGGACTCAGCCGACAGCGCTGAGCAGCTACAGCAACCGCCGCTGCCGCAGCAACCAGAGGACCAGCCACAACAACAGCAGGTTGCTGTCCCCCTGACTTCCCCAGCCCAGCCTTTGCTCCTCTCTTCTGCATCCGCCCTTGTAGATTGACATGCGTTGTCCACTGCTCCTTGTCTTCGATCCATCCTTTTTCTGCGAATTCTGTCATGGCGCGCTAGAAGTCCTTTGACTATTTATGACGCCACAATTCAGGTCGGTGGCGGAGGTCTTTTCGGCGGTGGCCTTCGCGGCTTGGTGGCCGCTGCAAAGGCAGCCGGCGGAGCTAATCACGTCTCGACTCCACAAGCTGACGAAACAAGCCAGCTGATTCCAAATCACACCCCGCTTGCGAATAATATCTCTGCACAGGTAATGCACTTCAAATGTCAACTGACTCCAGCTACAATCTTTTACAGCGATCATACAATCTGTATACTCCGCTTGAAGATGCATCAAAGTCCAATAAGAGCAGCGAAGAGGGCGAAGAGACTCCTACACGTTACTCTCCGCCACAAGAAGTGTACGTCAATTACATCCTCCTAATTCTGTTCTATCTAAAGCAGTCTCATTGCAAAACGAAGTAACACTCTTGTATAAATGTAAAAGTATTCTTATGCTGTTAGGATTCGTGTAGTAGCTTAGCATGGAGAGTCTGCTTGAGATCAGCAGCGATTTTTGCTAGCAGTCAGCGTCAGCCTATCGTGATTGTGAGCTGCTGCAACTAGGGTGACACTCCAGTGCATGTGCAGTAATCTCGAATAAGACATAATAGAGTCGATTCAGGCCAAAAGCAGTCACAGCTGGTCGTCGTATCTCGGACATGTTTTCGCGTATACGCCGTGGAGCTGGAGCAGTTGCGCGCGACCCGCCACAGGTGCGTGTCGAAATTGAGATTGAGGCTCTAACAGTCGCTCGATGTCTCGTGCACGTATCTAACTTTGCTTCATTTTCTGTCTGTACATCTTTGAACGTGCCATTCGATTTTGGGTTTGAGTTACGTACACACTTGACATGTAGTTGAAAAACGGATAGTTGGCGAAGTGAAGTACACTTCCCAGTTATAACTAGTATATGAACTCTCTTCACTGGTGCACTCTATGCCATTTCGTTTCTAGCAGTATGCACCACGTTTCAACTACTATCGTGAGAGGTCATCTCAGTACGACGAGGTACGCTTTGTCCACGTGGTGCTCGTGAGCACGCATGCGTTTTCCTTTCCATTTTTCTTATGCATGAATCGTGTGTAGCCTTTGGCTGAGATGTCCATAGTGGCAATCTGGATGGACCGTGCCATTCAGTTTTGCGCTTTTGATTTTCGCATGAGGTTAAGAGGGAAGGGGTCACATACCTTTCCGCGTTCCAACGTATTGTTAAGGTCTGTGACCCCGTGATTCAAGCAGATCACTTAGTCTTATATGTTCAGACGGAGCAGCTGTTGTCGTCACAGCGATCCAGGTCTCCATCGCCTCGTTACTTGAGTCTACATGGCAGAAGCAGTCCACCTAGTCCCGCTGAGCGCTATCCTCCGCGCTACAGATCTCGAGGTGAGGAATAAGACAAACATGAGATTTGCAATCATCAGCAAACCGCAGCGAGGGTTATATGAAAAGCAGACTCCTCCTCCAGCTACACTTATACGCCTCGCTTATATACAGATTTAGGAAATGGGACTGTACGAGGACGCAATGGTTGTAATGGAGGAGGAGTCTATCAAACCAATCCTCATTCTAGTACTTCCTCCTTCAGGATTAGTAAGGTCCTTGTGCTAGAACGCGACTCAATTTCAGAATCCCCTCCATCCTCTGACTATGCCATGTCCATACGAGATCCAGCACCTCGCATGCCTCGCCCTGCTCAGCTTTACTATTCGCGACCTCTAAGAACAAGTTACACCTCATACCCTCATCAGTATGCACGAAGTCCCTACTCTGATGAAAGCCCAGGCAGAAGTTTTCGTCGGCATGGTTACTCGAGATATAATGGTGCGTCTCAACGGTCATATTACTAATACTCCAAAGTGATTTGCAGACACGCCTCCCGAGATCAGTGAAGACGAAGAAATGACGAATTCTGTGAGGCAACGACGTCTTCCCTTGATAGGATCAATACCACAGGGTGGTGATCTGCGTTCGGGTCCATACTCCCAGCCATCTTATGCAGGTAGCATCATTTTGTCAGCCAACCAGCAAATGATTTCAATTTTTCAGGTTTTCCTTCGAGTGCTTCTCATTCCTCAATGGGTCAGTTTGCATCTCCACCATATAGACCTCCTTCGGTAGCATCTCCCACGCGGTCACATCGTCAGGACTATTACACAGCCAGGGAAAGTTATTATGACATACCATCACCGAGCCCTGCAGGGAACGATGTCAGTAGAGAGTTTGTTTTTGATGCTATCTGAAGCAGTTCGAAAGTTTTGCCTTACGCTCATCTTTAAGATGTATCATGGTTACAACCGATCGTCTCCGTCTCGATATTCGTCCGTAGTTTACGCTCACGACAATGGTCCCCGCACTAGAGTCATCCAGGCGCAGTCCGGCACCATTCCTCTCAGTGACTCTGAGTCGGATGACCAGGAACGATGGGCCGTTGTTTGATGTTAGCATCTTCGTTGCTCGTCACCAAGTGTCTTAGTGATACTCAGTTCGGAGCGACAGCAATTATTCATAGGGGATCTAAACCGTCTGCAATCTATTTATCCGGTTGATCATCCGTGTGCAATTCAGTGTCATAATTATTCGTCAAATTTGTTCTAACCTAAAATTTCTAATCTCGAGTCTGTACAGTAAATTAATGTAGCCCTCTAATTTGCTTAGTCATGCTTACTCATTCGCTCCTGAATTCACTTAGGTACCTCTACATACCTTGACCAATATGTTGGCTATATGCCAGGCTGACCGTACTTACTGCGTAAGGATATTACCTTGTCGAATGCTTATTAATATATTGTTTACACTCCTTACTGTGCTCTTACCTGGTGTCCGTGTCACGTCTATCCTATCCGACGTGTGCCACTTCATTCGTTGCCCTCTACTGCCTGGATCTTACTTTGTTTGGCACGCTTTAAATTCGGTCCAATATAATCGTCAAAGATTGTGACGTTAAGTTAATTTCGCTTTGCACTGCCGGCTGGGCTATACCCCGTTGATTCGGCCTTTAAGCGTACATCAAGATCTCAAAGCTTTTACCAAACAGTGTAACGTAAGTCTAAATGAAAGAATAAATTAAGTTCTCGTTGGATGATATACGTAGCTTCCGCATCAAATTTTTCCATAACGCTCTATCAAAGCATTATAATGAGAGGCTAGTTTTGATGAAGGCAACATTGCAATCAACTACGATAGCGACGGCAATTAGTCAAAAAAGTCATCGAACTCCACGAAGTCGCGTCGCATCGCCACATATCAGTTCAGAGTGGATATTCTGAATCCAAGGGCACTCTTAGACTCAGTTCGGGGCGTTTTTCCGACATATAGAAGTGTTTGTTTGGATACGTAGGTGCACGGTAAGCGGTTGTGTTTCATAGGGCGCAGATCTCGGTAATTTTTCGAGAGCTCCTCAAGTGTTCTGCAACGAATTCTTTGATAGAAAGAGGGTGAAATGCTACATTGAATGCTGCCAAGATCTCTTATACCTTTGTTCCATGTGGCGTTTATCTGAAAAAGCGAATTTACATTCAGAACGACCTAACATATTAGGGTATATATTAGGGTTTGCCGTTTTTACCCTAGACATCAGCATCTCTAGAGAACTGGGGCAACTACAAAGGATGCAAGTACTCGTACTCCTGTATGTATGAGCTATATGATCACGTGTGTGGGAGGAGCAGGACTTCTAGGGGCGGAGTTTGCCATTTTACCCATTCATTTTTTCTTTATTTCTAGCCATGGAAAAAATACGAAAAGTGTACAGTGTTGTTAAGAAAAAATCTAAGCGAGTTGGACGAGCTGGGCCAACCAAGCGAGGACAATAGCGGAGGGAAGCCAGGGACACCACGGAGCGGCGGACAGAGCAAGCAGCCGGGGGAGCCAGGGGAGGTGAAAGAGAACGGCAACCGGGGGAGGGGAGGGGAGGGGAGGGCAGGGGCAAAGGCAAAGAGGGGAGAGGGGAGGAGCAAGGGGAAGGGAAAGAAAAGCACCCCGAAAGGGAGAAAAGCACCCCCAAAGGGAGAACCCAACGGAGAGTCTTTTCAGCGCTCAAGTAGAGCAGTGTTGAGTATGAGCGTATTAGACAGAAGTAACCCATTTGATGAAGTGCTCCGATAATCGAAACTGGATCATCTGAGCAATTCTGGAAGAGAAAAGCACCTCGAAAGGGAGAACCCAACGGAGAGTCTTTTCAGCGCTCAAGTAGAGCAGTGTTGAGTATGAGCGTATTAGACAGAAGTAACCCATTTGATGAAGTGCTCCGATAATCGAAACTGGATCATCTGAGCAATTCTGGAAGATTTTTGTTCGAGTTGCCCATCCAATTTCTCAAACTTAGAAATGTTCATAACTCATGGCGTTAGAAGTTGGAGTTCGCAAAAGTCTATTATAATTGCAGCAAAAACCGCAACTATCTCTGTTGTGGTGTTTGGCGCAGGCGGTAAGAAAGCAGACCACTGCGATGAAGATCACGAGTTCGAATCTAGTCGATGGCATAGTCTTTGCGGCGCTTCTAATCTATTGCAAAAAATACCAAAAGTACCTCAAACTTGGGTAACTAAACCGAAAAAAGTGTGCAATTACCATCAAAAATTGTCTTTATCACAAAACCCATAATGCTTGGCTTGATAAGCAAGATTTTCTCCTTAAACGAACGTGCTGCGTAGTTCAGTGGTAAGTCAGTGGAGTACAGTGGTACATGTGTCGGGTTTGGATCCTATCCATGTGTGTCGTATGAATGCTTTTATCAGTGAAGGGGAAATTTATGGTAAATTTGTGCATGTTGAGAGGTGAATTTCTCCATAATTTACGCCATAATCAAAAGTGCGTGAGATACGAAGCGAACGAAAAGGTTGTTAAGAAAAAATCTAAGCGAGTTGGACGAGCTGGGCCAACCCAGCGAGGACAATAGCGGAGGGAAGCCAGGGACACCACGGAGCGGCGGACAGAGCAAGCAGCCGGGGGAGCCAGGGGAGGTGAAAGAGAACGGCAGGGAGGGGATGGGAGGGCAGGGGCAAAGGCAAAGAGGGGAGAGGGGAGGAGCAAGGGGAAGGGAAAGAAAAGCACCCCGAAAGGGAGAACCCAACGGAGAGTCTTTTCAGCGCTCAAGTAGAGCAGTGTTGAATATGAGCGTATTAGACAGAAGTAACCCATTTGATGAAGTGCTCCGATAATCGAAACTGGATCATCTGAGCAATTCTGGAAGATTTTTGTTCGAGTTGCCCATCCAATTTCTCAAACTTAGAAATGTTCATAACTCATGGCGTTAGAAGTTGGAGTTCGCAAAAGTCTATTATAATTGCAGCAAAAACCGCAACTATCTCTGTTGTGGTGTTTGGCGCAGGCGGTAAGAAAGCAGACCACTGCGATGAAGATCACGAGTTCGAATCTAGTCGATGGCATAGTCTTTGCGGCGCTTCTAATCTATTGCAAAAAATACCAAAAGTACCTCAAGCTTGGGTAACTAAACCGAAAAAAGTCTGCAATTACCATCAAAAATTGTCTTTATCACAAAACCCATAATGCTTGGCTTGATAAGCAAGATTTTCTCCTTAAACGAACGTGCTGCGTAGTTCAGTGGTAAGTCAGTGGAGTACAGTGGTACATGTGTCGGGTTTGGATCCTATCCATGTGTGTCGTATGAATGCTTTTATCAGTGAAGGGGAAATTTATGGTAAATTTGTGCATGTTGAGAGGTGAATTTCTCCATAATTTACGCCATAATCAAAAGTGCGTGAGATACGAAGCGAACGAAAAGGTTGTTAAGAAAAAATCTAAGCGAGTTGGACGAGCTGGGCCAACCCAGCGAGGACAATAGCGGAGGGAAGCCAGGGACACCACGGAGCGGCGGACAGAGCAAGCAGTTGGGGGAGCCAGGGGAGGTGAAAGAGAACGGCAACCGGGGGACGGGAGGGGAGGGGAGGGCAGGGGCAAAGGCAAAGAGGGGAGAGGGGAGGAGCAAGGGGAAGGGAAAGAAAAGCACCCCGAAAGGGAGAAAAGCACCCCCAAAGGGAGAACCCAACGGAGAGTCTTTTCAGCGCTCAAGTAGAGCAGTGTTGAGTATGAGCGTATTAGACAGCTGGGCCAACCCAGCGAGGACAATAGCGGAGGGAAGCCAGGGACACCACGGAGCGGCGGACAGAGCAAGCAGTTGGGGGAGCCAGGGGAGGTGAAAGAGAACGGCAACCGGGGGAGGGGAGGGGAGGGCAGAGGCAAAGGGAAAGAGGGGAGAGGGGAGGAGCAAGGGGAAGGGAAAGAAAAGCACCCCGAAAGGGAGAAAAGCACCCCGAAAGGGAGAACCCAACGGAGAGTCTTTTCAGCGCTCAAGTAGAGCAGTGTTGAGTATGAGCGTATTAGACAGAAGTAACCCATTTGATGAAGTGCTCCGATAATCGAAACTGGATCATCTGAGCAATTCTGGAAGATTTTTGTTCGAGTTGCCCATCCAATTTCTCAAACTTAGAAATGTTCATAACTCATGGCGTTAGAAGTTGGAGTTCGCAAAAGTCTATTATAATTGCAGCAAAAACCGCAACTATCACTGTTGTGGTGTTTGGCGCAGGCGGTAAGAAAGCAGACCACTGCGATGAAGATCACGAGTTCGAATCTAGTCGATGGCATAGTCTTTGCGGCGCTTCTAATCTATTGCAAAAAATACCAAAAGTACCTCAAACTTGGGTAACTAAACCGAAAAAAGTGTGCAATTACCATCAAAAATTGTCTTTATCACAAAGCCCATAATGCTTGGCTTGATAAGCAAGATTTTCCCTTAAACGAACGTGCTGCGTAGTTCAGTGGTAAGTCAGTGGAGTACAGTGGTACATGTGTCGGGTTTGGATCCTATCCATGTGTGTCGTATGAATGCTTTTATCAGTGAAGGGGAAATTTATGGTAAATTTGTGCATGTTGAGAGGTGAATTTCTCCATAATTTACGCCATAATCAAAAGTGCGTGAGATACGAAGCGAACGAAAAGGTTGTTAAGAAAAAATCTAAGCGAGTTGGACGAGCTGGGCCAACCCAGCGAGGACAATAGCGGAGGGAAGCCAGGGACACCACGGAGCGGCGGACAGAGCAAGCAGCCGGGGGAGCCAGGGGAGGTGAAAGAGAACGGCAACCGGGGGAGGGGAGGGGAGGGCAGGGGCAAAGGCAAAGAGGGGAGAGGGGAGGAGCAAGGGGAAGGGAAAGAAAAGCACCCCGAAAGGGAGAAAAGCACCCCCAAAGGGAGAACCCAACGGAGAGTCTTTTCAGCGCTCAAGTAGAGCAGTGTTGAGTATGAGCGTATTAGACAGAAGTAACCCATTTGATGAAGTGCTCCGATAATCGAAACTGGATCATCTGAGCAATTCTGGAAGAGAAAAGCACCCCGAAAGGGAGAACCCAGCGGAGAGTCTTTTCAGCGCTCAAGTAGAGCAGTGTTGAGTATGAGCGTATTAGACAGAAGTAACCCATTTGATGAAGTGCTCCGATAATCGAAACTGGATCATCTGAGCAATTCTGGAAGATTTTTGTTCGAGTTGCCCATCCAATTTCTCAAACTTAGAAATGTTCATAACTCATGGCGTTAGAAGTTGGAGTTCGCAAAAGTCTATTATAATTGCAGCAAAAACCGCAACTATCTCTGTTGTGGTGTTTGGCGCAGGCGGTAAGAAAGCAGACCACTGCGATGAAGATCACGAGTTCGAATCTAGTCGATGTTGGACGAGCTGGGCCAGCCCAGCGAGGACAATAGCGGAGGGAAGCCAGGGACACCACGGAGCGGCGGACAGAGCAAGCAGCCGGGGGAGCCAGGGGAGGTGAAAGAGAACGGCAACCGGGGGAGGGGAGGGGAGGGCAGGGGCAAAGGCAAAGAGGGGAGAGGGGAGGAGCAAGGGGAAGGGAAAGAAAAGCACCCCGAAAGGGAGAAAAGCACCCCCAAAGGGAGAACCCAACGGAGAGTCTTTTCAGCGCTCAAGTAGAGCAGTGTTGAGTATGAGCGTATTAGACAGAAGTAACACATTTGATGAAGTGCTCCGATAATCGAAACTGGATCATCTGAGCAATTCTGGAAGAGAAAAGCACCCCGAAAGGGAGAACCCAACGGAGAGTCT